GTACATGATCAGTGGAGCAGTGTCGTGTGTAAATAAGGTCCAGTTGGTTGCCTGATTTGTGAGTAGCCGTAGTTAACGCTCTCTTGAGATCAAAAGAGGCAAGCAGAGTGTGGAAATCTGCAGCTTGAGGTTTATCTAGGTGGATGTTGAAGTCTCCAAGCATAACTAGGGGAGTACCATCCTAAGGAAAGGTTGAGAGTTGCACATCTAATTCATCCAAGAAGTTACCTTGTGGTCCTGGGTGTCAATAAACAATTACAAAATGGATTTTAAAAGGGTGGGTAATAGTGACTGAATGTGATTCAAAGGAGCTATTAATACCCAGAGAAGGTAAAGGAATACATTTCCAATCATTAGAGATAAGCAGACCAGTACAGACTCTTCCAGTCAGACGGGGAGTGTGGGAAAATGAGAAATTATTGGAGAGTGCTGCAGGAGTAGCAGTGTCCTCTGGTTGGATCCACGTCTCTGTCAGGTTTGTTTACTGCAGACTGACAATTCCAGAGACCAATAGAAAAAGAAAGTAGTGTATTAGCAGACATAGGCAAAGTGCAGTTAAAATAGATATTCTGTTGCTTCTAACCTGAATGATCATTTTACATGTAATTATAGCCAAAATCACAGCACAGCCATTGTCTTTAACTTATGTATATTTGATTTTGTCTGACGGTGTCTTGATTTTAAATCAGGATTTTAGTGCAGATTACAGCACAGCCATTGTCTTTAACTTATGTATATTTGATTTTGTCTGACGGTGTCTTGATTTTAAATCAGGATTTTAGTGCAGATTAACAGCTTGGAAGGGAGAGCTGGTTGTGTAGTCTTAATGGGCTGTGTTGTTCCACTATTTCTTATTAATCTCATTGTCTGACAAGAGAAACAGAAAAATATATCAATGAAAACTGTTTTATTGAGAAATTGGCTGTATTAATTCAGTATGGGAGAACAGAGAAGGAGAGAGACAAACAAACATAAAAGGTTGACACTAGGCAGAATGCAAATACGACGCAATGAAGTGAATAATATGCTAATTAACGCATGACGTCATCTAGCGACATTTAATGACTTTTCTAGCAGGCTTTACCTTCTTTCCATTGAAAGAAGTTGGCAACATTGATTAGAGGTTCGGCACGCATGTGATCCATGGATTTATTGCAAAATTTAACCATAATAAAGTGAAAGTTAATCATTTGTACTTGTTTACACACTCAAGTGATTTTAAACCATTCCACTGCAAGAACAGGCTAAAGTGAACTCAATTCGGTGCTCGCGCGATGAGAAAGAAATCGGATGTGTATCATTATATTGGATCTGTGAGTCAGATCTTAAAGGGGTCATATGATGTTGCTAAAAAGAACATTATTTGGTGTATTTGGTGTAATGAAATATGTTTATGCGGTTTAAGGTTCAAAAAACACATTATTTCCACATACTGTACATTATTGATTATTCTCTATGCCCCGCCTTTCTGAAATGCGTCGATTTTTTCAAAGCGCATCGGTCTGAAAAGCAAGGTGTGCTCTGATTGGCCAGCTATCCAGTGCATTGTGATTGGCCGAATACCTCAAGCGTGTGACGGAAATGTTACGCCCCTTACCATATTGTGATGCCGTGTCCCGGCCGGAGCAACGAGACATTGTTCGTTATGCCTTCTTTCTTTGCGTGAACATTTGGGCGGCGTTATGCAAATCTTCCCACATCGTGATGTAGACATGTGGGGGCGTTTTAGAACGAGCCGTTTTAGATAGGCGTGGTTGACTCTTTGTGTATTTGTTCTTATTTTTTACTGGCTGTTCACTTGTCTTTAATCATGTTTGAACTTTATTAGTTAGGTTAGTAGTTTTTGCAGTTGTATCGAAGAAGTACTAAGCTTTAAGTAATAAATGGAAAGCAAAGTTACACTGAAATATCTTTTTTTCTTGCTGGTCCAAAAAAAGATCCGATCCGTGACTCAAAAACCATATAATTATAATTCATTTCTGTGGACACGGTGATGCTTTTCAGGATTCTTTGCTAATAGAAAGTTCAAAATCATTTATTGTAAGAGTCTTTACTGTCACTTTTGATAAATTTAATGCATCCTTGCTGAATAAAAGCATTAATTTCTTACATTTCATAAAAAGTATTAACCACAGTAATATGTTATAATACTTTTAAAAGTACCATGCATAAAACACACTGCACACTGTGATAAAAGTTACAGTATTATATAACCAATAAATACTAATAATAAACTAATAAATATGTGCTAAAGAGCAGTATTAAATAACTAAATATTTTTCCACAAAAATGTTGTAAAATGCAGTGCAGGGACTCAAATGAAGCTTTTGTTTTTAAAACTATAATGTATTGGACTTCAGTGGTAGCTTAAGCAGTTTAGTTTTTATGCTTTATGTACAATACCTTATAAAAAACAGTGACAGTATTTTGTCATGCTACATTGTTATTTATTTTATTTTATTGTAATTTTTTAAAGCCATATTACTAAAAAAACAAAAACAAAAAAAAACTACACTATTGTAAAAATAACTGACCTACTGTCTTGGTACTAAAATGTAGTTACTAGCATCACAACTTTAGTTAGTTAGTCCCAAATAATAAATTAATATTTCATCATGCATTATGCATTAATGCATTACAACACTGTGCATGCATATATGTGCATAGAAAATGTTACCCAAATACCTGCTGATGAAAGACAAAGATAGCAAAATACTGAACATGTTTTGGGGTAAAACATTGTCTTTATGTACCTGAAACATAAGAGGTGTGGTGGCAGAAGAGAAATTGAGACTCTTGGCAGTGTGGGACTCTGGGTCGTATTTGGACATGCAGCCTTTGATGATGACAGTTTTGGCAGTGCCCTGCTCTCCTATCAAAAGCACAGCCTGAAACACATGAAGAAAATGTGAGTAGACTCCAGAGAGGGCGACCATCTGTCCTTGTGTACAGCTAATCATAGTGCTGGCAGCACAGGAAAAGTCTTGATGACAAACAAAGTAGCTGTCCAGTTAAACAAGCCTCACTCAGAGGAATCAATAATGCAGCACTACATGGTGTCATTGTTGAGAACCTACACTAATAATGCTTTTATAAGACCCAGAGGCTTTTATAATACAATCTACAATTGCAGGCCAATTCACAAAGAAACATATAACCCTATTCCACCAAAATGGTGCTTGTTCATGTGCCAGAGCCGGTGCTAATGGGTGTTCAGTCAGATTTTTGTGGACTGAATAATGAGAACTATGTATTCTAACAAACATAGCCTGTTGCAGTCTTTTTAATGCTGGTTTTGAGAACATATTTTAATATCCAAAGTAACTGAATTAGCGTCTTTATCATGCTATATGCTCCCAATTGCACATACCCTAACACATTTCTTGTCACCATTTCTTGACGATATAAAATATGTAACAGGCAGATAAATGTGACATGACAAGACATGACAAAAAGCTTTCAAAATCAAAATACACAAAATGATAAATGTGTCAGTGCTCTGACAGCAAAGGTTAACTTTGCATAAGTTTCAGAAAGCAATTAAAGTTATTGATGGCAAGCCATTCCCTGGCCCGCATTTCCAACAGGGTGTCCTTGCATCTCTCAAGTAAAAACTTGCTGTAACTCAAATTTGGCATGTTGCGTTGCGTATCACTCGAGACAGCTAATGTCAATTAGCATTATAGCTGCAAATCTGTTTTGTAAATTGCTTGATGCTCCAATTTTGAATGTTAAACAAAAGCAATGTTGAATGTAACAGCAGATAGGGACAATTATCTATGCATAATGAATACATTATGGACCTTTTCCTCATACAGTTTTATAATTTATGCTGAAGACTTGGAATCAAATGCACAAAACAGTGGACTACGACTATGAATCGGTTTATGGTGCACAGCTGTCTCACAGCAAACAAAATAATAAAAAAAGGTGTTGATTAATTTATGAATGAATGTTCATTCATAGTTTAGTAAAATGACGAAATCCCTCAAAAGAAGTTGCAGTCAGTTGCATGTAATCTTGCAAAAACGATGCGGTACAAGTAATCACACAGAACTTTAAATGGCGCTCACCTTGCCCTGCTTTGCAATGGTCTGGATGAGAAAGTCAGTGCGAACATTGTCTACATTGGGCACCAGTATGGAGCCATACTCTGGTGTGGAGTCGGGTGGGTAAATATATTCTTCCACTCTGGTATTCCAGTGAACCCAGTGGCCTGCAAAACACACAATAGCTAAATTTCCATTGTCAGCACTCTGAATAGAGCATCGTGCAAGCACCTTTATTAAAATTCCAGACCGAAAAGCCAATGTGTTCTATAATTGAATAGGGTTATTAGCTCTGGTTCTGACTTACAAGTGGAGTTTTTGGCATGAAAATGCGGGCTGGGAAAGTTTATCTTATTTAGACATGAATGCTGCCAATTAGGGGTCTATTTGAATTGCAAAGTGTACAATATTTTGCAGTAACAATTCTAAATGACCTTGTGAACTAGAGACTTTTGGGTCTAAGCTATTTTGTTATATGCTTTAGCTGTGAAAACAAGTCAGCGTGGAATATACTCATATTGTGGCCCACCAAAAAAACCCGTTTTTTGTCAGATTTGTCTGGAGGCAGACTACAGATTCGGTATTCTCCATAAGCCTGCAAATTTGCCTCTCTATACAAAAATGTCAGAGAAACTCTGTAGCCTGCTGCTTGAATTGTACTGACAGATGGAGTAATTTCCTTGCATGTTCCTGTACAGAAGAAAAACGGTCAATTAGTGTTTCCTTGTCATTTACCTTGTCACTGGAAAAACTATACATTTTCCAATTTATAGATCATTTTTTCCAATTTAAGGCAGATCAATGAAGGCAGAAGTTTCTATATTGATTAGTTCACCTAATTACAATTTACCTAATTACTTTAGATAAATGGAGGAGTTGTAGAAAACAGAACTATAATTGACAAAGATAAATGTATTGAATGATAGATGCAAAAATAAAGCAAATATAACACTGGGGGAGGTGTGCAAGTATATTAGATACCATCATTAGTGACGTAAAAGTCGAACATAGTGTCCTCGCTGTGGGGAGGGATGTTGGGAACGTCAAGGTGAATGCTGTCATGGTGACGGAGCCATCTCTCCAACTTCATTCGATCATCCAGTTCCAATAGAGCTCCCACACTCCACATCAGAGCGAAGACATACAGACGCTCCGTGTGCTCACGAGACAGCTCCCCTCCCTGCTCCTGATGGGTTACATCATCAAAGACATCATCAAAAGTCTGTCAGAGCACACAGGCCTGATAATTTATTTATTTATTTATTTTTGCACAATAAACTAAGAGAACAGATAGTATGCTTAATCAAACATATCCAAACCAAAAAAATAAACTACAATAATATATTTGGCAAGGGTATTGTAAGCTACTTCACATGCGAGAAGGCTAGACAATCATAACATTCAATGTCATTTAATTATACATATCACACTTGTAATAAATAAATAAATAAAAGCCTATTTATTTCTAAAGGTCAAAGAGAGAGTGATTGTGACATATGAAGCTTTGGTTAACATTGTAAGTAGATTTCAGAAGGCCAAAAAAAAAAAAAATTCTAGACTACAGTATGTCCACTTTACAATAGATATGCTTCTTTCATATAAATGAAAGAAAGGAAAAGACGCCACTTCACCAATCTGCTTTCATAAACGAATACATTTCAGGCCATGCAGTTGGGAATAAATGTTTCTTTTTGACTTAACAGCCTGAAGTGTTAATATTCTTTATCGTCCTTGACAGAAATGTCACAATCATTTGCAGGTTGTATTGTTGGGGCACCATGCACACTGTGTAAAAATGAATTATTTCAAGCCTAAAGTGCTTTTGAAGGTTACAGGTCCTTTTTTTTTATAGAGGCAGTGGGTATAATGTATATTCAGCTCATGTTTAAATGGGCCGGAATTCTCACATAATGATAGTGTGGTGACAATAGGGTTGTATAATGTGCATCTCATAGCTAAATGCTTTACGAATGTCAGTGTGAGGGATAATGCATGACATTTACTGGGAACAATTCATTCTAATCATATTCATCACTTTCAGATAAGGGGAAAATCTGCATGGGTCGAATATTCAAACTGGTCAGGAATTCATTATATTCATATCTGTAGACTGTTTTAAGCTTTTTTTGCTTATGTTATATAATATAATAATAAGTTGACATATCTGATTTTCTTCAGCTGATCAAACAACATTCAATATTTCAGTTTAATGACAACCACTGTCAATATAAGTAAAATATCACAGAATGAAATGCAGTGAAATCGTATTATTTTTGCAGTTTTATGGGAAACAAGGCTGCTAGATGATAGGAGCGTAAAGGGTCTGGGGTTAGATAAAAAATATTATGGGATATAGCGCCAAAAGATCATTACTGCAGTCCGCTAATTGGTGACCCCTAATATAAAGTGTATGTATTAACCACTGGACTACAGCTCTTTTCTTTAATGACAGAAATCGAAGTTTAAAACCCTTATTTTTGATTTACAAGATAGTAGGCAGTCTTTCATGGTTGCAAAATCTGGGTTAATGAGGACTACAGCTGTTGAAGCACAACCTTGGGCTGAATGAGTCCTTGCAGCATGTTTATGCACTGCATGATGATGAAGGCCTCCAGCATGTCCATTTTATACTGCAAAGACTGAACGCTGAACCGATACAGCTCAGGAAAGGAGGAGGAGAAGAGCTCCCTCAGGACCACTCCTTCCTGAGGGGAACGGTTCTTCAGCCAGCCCTAAGAGCACAAACACACACATGAAAAACCTGTTGGGAAGAACACACAGAGAGTGGGAGACAGAAGTCCACATGCAGAAATTAAATGAAGTATTCTTTAGAGCTCAAAAATAGTTTGTCCTTCTTCTCTGTCTTTCTCTGGCTCTCCCTCATTTACTCTTCTTCCATTGAACAGTTGAACACTTTGAAGTCTGTTATAAAGACAGAGCGAAATGCCTTGGGGATTTTAGACTCCATTAATTCAGAGTGGAGTAAAAGGAATAACTAGCATAACCACCGGTTTCTACTTTCGTGGTTCTGTGGATGCCTTTCTTCACTGCTATGATGCAAATGTGGAGGGATATATTTTGTAGACTTTTGTTCCTCCATTGAACGTCCATTCCCCCTAAAACTTCAATACTTCAAAAAACATTAAAATTTAGCGATTTCATTCAAGTTCTGTAGAGGCAAGATTGCTTCATATGATGAAACTGATGACCAAAATCTTTATGGATTTGGATTGCCATTAGGATGAATAAATGACAACAGAATTAAAATTTTGGTTGAACTAACCCTTTCGGTCAAACACAGAAATGTCTGAGTAAATAGACAACTTAACAGAATAGTTCACCTCAAAATTTAAATTCTGTCAGCAATTGCCCACCCTCAGTTTGTCATGAGTTGCTCACATTCAAATTTAAAAATCCAAGCAATATACTGGAATCTCTTTTGGTGTAGCTATCCAGTCTCTTTCACCTTTATGCCAATTCAAACCTGCGCTTTATGATGTTCACTGTGGTGTCCTTTGGCCTATTCTGACATGCACGAAACATGTAAGCATTATTGAAATTTGAAAGCTACAACAGATTTTCCACCTACATTTTGGTCTCTTCCTCATACAAAACTACTGTTCAGAAGACCATTTTATAATCATGAATACTTGTATGATACCTTTTTTTTGTCTTTTTTAGAGCTTTACAGTCACTTAGACTTGAAAAAGAGTTAAATGCCTCCTTTATGTTACATGGAAAGTGAACACTCAAACAATGGTGTAAATGAATTTTCATTATGAGTGAACTATTTCTGTTGATTTTATGCATATAAGTAATGGAAGCAAGAATCCTCTGACAGGTAATTGTTTTTTTTGTTTTTTTTTATTACTTAAATTCAGTGCATTAAGAAGGCCGGTATGTAACAGTATGCAGTACCGGCACTTCTAAATTTTAATCTTTAGTGTACCGCCACTTTTTCTTGTGCACCAGCACTTTTCCTGTGTTGCCAGTACGACAAAGCGTCAAAGCATCAGAGTAACTGTCCGTGACCAGCTGAAGCCCTGTTTCCAGAGTATGAAAGCGCATTTTTCGGTGATTCAATCACAAGCTGTCAGCCGAGATTCATTTATCATATATTCCATTTGGTAAATATGCATTTTGAATGCATCTCCTCTGATTTGTGTTCGGATTTCATTACACTCTACATTATTTTCACTGAGTGCGGCGAACCAACCCGAGTAACACAGCTTATGAGCGAGCATGAAAAGGGAAAACAGCTGTGATTTTTGGTGCTAATGTCATTTAAATTTAAATTAGCTGACTATCTGATAAGGAGATACTATTTTATGTATACTACAACGTGATGAGGCTAATCTCAGATTATATTATATTGTTATATTGTATTATATGCATATTATTAAAAAGAATATAATAAATGATACATATGATAATACAATATGGAGGGGGGGGGGTCACTCAAGATAGTACTGGCACATTTTTCCCCACTTCAAGCCCTGCTGAAATTATCTAAACATACAATACCTAAAAAAAAGGATGATTCAGTACTGGTTCCTCATCACCCACCTCCAAAATAGGGCTCCAGTTAAGGACAGAAGAGCTCATAAACACCATTCCATTACGGGACACTGTGGCTGGGGAAGCGTTATCGATGTTGTGTGGCTCAAACACAATCTTGCAATTGGGAGCCATGGGGATGCGGTCACCATTGGCCAATGTCAGTGTGCGGTTATCATCCAGGACTGAGTTTAGGTTTTCAATCCATATAGCATCAACTGGCCCATCAAGGACAATCCATATGTGTTCCCCTATACACAAAAATGAAGTACAAATGAGAAATGAAACAGATACAGATACACAAAAGCATAATGATGTGGCTTCCACCAGTCATTATGATCAATGATTGACATTTGACACCTCATGGCTGATTGCTTTGCCCATTAGTGTCTAAAGGCCTGTTTGATGTCTGAACTTGTTCATTGATTTAAAAAGCCCAGTTGATAGGCTTCAGCGTGTTTTCCCCATTTAAATAAAAAATTATCTTTCGTGTGGTATACATCTCACTGCCTTTTATGTAAAGGGAGGGCAAAGTATGGTCTTTGCCTGTTTGAGAGGTTTTTCAGCCACTTTGGAAACCATCAGCTTTTTTACACAACTAACCAGATCAAAAAGCCCTGAGGGGCTCTGCTGACATATATTAAAACACTTAATCCCTTAAAAATAAAAGTGTTTTTGCACATTTCAGACCAGACATGCCAAGTCTACTTAATAATTGTAATGTTCACTGCTTTACACTTTTAAGGTTACTTTGATAAAGTGCCCTCCGCTAATATTGGCACTCTTGGTAAATATGAGCAAAGGTGTTTCATGTTTCTGAACAAGACGTCCAGGACCTCCGGCAGAAAAATAGGCCCACAACATTAAAGATCCAGCAATATATTTAACCGTGGGCATGGGATACTTTTTATCCCTGTTTGAAACCCTCCTGAACAACATGTGGCGATGAAGGGGCTGTTTATTATTTATTTTTTTTTTTTAGGCTTTCAACTAATCTCTGCAATTCTCCAGCTGTGATCCTTGGAGAGCCTTTAGCCTTTTTGGAGAGCCACTCAAACTCTCCTCCTCACCATGCATTAGGACGATATAGACACTCATCCTCTTCCAGGCAGATTTGTAACATCTTTAGTTGATTGGAACTTCGTAATTGTTGCCTATTATTGCCCTGATTGCCCTGCATCCTGGAATTAAACCACGCCATGCTGGTTTCGTCTGGCCAGAGGAGAACTGGCCCCCCAACTGAGCCTGGTTTCACCCAAGGTTTTTTCTCCATTTCTGTCACCGATGTAGTTTTGGTTCCTTACCACTGTCGCCTTTGGCTTGCTTAGTTGGGGACCTTGACTGATTGCACAGACACTATTGGAAGAGAACTGAACTGGATGATGACATCACTGAATCATCAATGAACTGACTTTAGCTGAAAAATGACTCTGTTATTGTCTTCTTGCATCATTGACAAACTATTTTCCTGTTTAACACTGTAAAGCTGCTTTGACACAACCAGTATTGTATAAAGCGTTATACAAATAAAGGTGACTTGACTTGACTGATGGTGGAAATGGGTATTTTCAATGCTTTAGCTATTTTCTTACAGCCACTTTCTATTTTGTGAAGCTCAGCAATCTTGTTCTGCACATCAGAACTTTATTCTTTGGTTTTACTCCTTGTGATGGATGATTAAGGGAATTTGGCCTATGTGTTCTCATATTTATGATCCTGTGGAACAGGAAGTCATGGCTGGACAAAAATGTAAACATGAATGGGAATATACTTCAGAGGTGTTTTAAAATTTCTAGGGGTGCCAATAATTGTGGCCAACAAGCATTGGAGAAAAACATTTATTTCAAAATGTGAATTTCCCCCTACGTTCAATTGTTTTACTTCAATGAAAAGTTAGAATTTTGTGAATTTTTTGAATGAAGGATCAAAAAGATAAATGATGCAGATTTATACTCACAGCTGCCTTTGCTCATATTTACCAAGGGTGCCAATATTAGTGGAGGGCACTGTATATGTGAATAATCTCAGGAAATACAGTTTTTAGAGCTGAAAAAAGCTTCATGCATATTCTATTCCTTTTTTTAACAGGTGATCTACCTTTCTTTGCTCTGAGTGTTTTCCTCCAAAGAGTGGAAAAGATTCCATCAGTCCAGTCATTGGTTGCCACATCAAGTCGACCAAACATTTGAGGTGCAGTTATAGCTTTAGGGTTCATGCGCATCTCTCTGTGAGGCTGGCCACAATCTAGACACGAATTTACAGTCAAAATCACACATTAATTAAAAACATGTAATATTTACATTACCTATTAAATATTGATGGTAACATCATGGCCAGCTGGTTTTTGTGCCTAATGTCTAATTCTCACCGGTCATGGCCTTCATCAGGGTATGAATGCAGGTTGTTTTTCCTGCTCCGCTGGGTCCTAGTGCCATCATCCCATGACGAACTCTTTGAGTCTCATATAGCTGAATGACCTTTAACCTCCATGGTGGGTGATTGATTAGACCAGCCTCAGTTACCTAGTAGAAAAATGAAGAGATAAAAAAAAAATTTCCCTTACTGTAATTTTGGTGTAAGTTCTAATGATCAATCAAATAAAAGTTTCAAATATAAATATATATATATATATATATATATATATATATTTTTTTTTTTTCCAACCTGTTTGTCTATGGCTGACTCCAGATCAGGGTATCCAGCTTTATCCAACTGAATTCCAGGGAAAAGATCCTCAATCAAACTCAGAAACAATGGCTCATCCTCATCAATCTTAAATGACAGAGACACATTTCACTATTACGATTTCTGATACTGATATAAGAGAGAACCTATTATCAAACAAAGAGCGACATGAGGTATGACTGTTTGAAAGTGAAAGTGAAAGTGACGTGACATGGGGCCAATTATGGTGACCCATACTAGGAATTAGTGCTCTGCATTTATCCCATCCTAAGTGCACACACACAGCAGTGAACACACACACACTGTGAACACACACCCGGAGCAGTGGGCAGCCATTTATGCTGCGGCACCCGGGGAGCAGTTGGGGGTTCAGTGCCTTGCTCAAGGGCACTTCAGTCGTGGTATTGAAGGTGGAGAGAGCGCTGTACATTCACTCCCCCCACCTACAATCTTTGGGTTACGAGTTCGACTCTCTAACCATTAGGCCACAACTTCCCCCATGGACATTGGTTTGCTCATATGTGAAAACTATGTCTGTATGTGTGCTGGCACTCTTACCAGTTTGGACAGGTTCATATCTCGCAAAACTCTCATGACAATAGTAGACTCTGTGTCATTAGGATTGGCCCGTTTTGCTGCTCCAAGTGTGCGCAGGACGGACAGGATATTTCGGAGACCGAAGTCATAGTGGACCTAGGGGAAAAAAAGGAAACCCAGCTCAAGCTCAGCAATAAAAATTTAATAAATATTAAAAACCACTATAGTTCTATGGCCTAAAATGCCCTAATGACCTAAAATGGCCTAAAATTGCTGAAAACTGTGTTGTTTTTTCTATGCCTTAATGAAGTATTTATAGGCTTGCAAAATAATACATAATATCTTTTTACACATGCACTTGAAGGCTCTAAAGTGCTTAAACACCAATAATTTCTGCTTGCAGCTAACTGTAAGGCATAGAGACATAAAACTTGGTCAAAAGGTAGTGCTCAATTTGGGGACACATCGGCATGGACTTGTCCTGATCGCCCCATTGGGGGTGCTAAACAGTGCTACAGTGCTAAGAAACAAGAAATTCACACATAGTCATAACTCCTGACGCATTTGTCACAGTGTCAGTATTTTACGCTAATTCATTTAAACTGTAAATGAAAATGCATCAAACTAATCTTGGCCAGATATTACATTTCTAAATGCCATTTTTAGTGTGAGAGAATTTGCCTGGCAGGACAAGTTTACAGAATGTCCCATAGGAATGAATTTCAAGAACAGTGCAATTTTCAGTAAAATGTACTAAGAAAGTGGTAATAATAAATATTATTATTTAGTGTCATTGTCACATGTTCCTGAACAAGAACAGTTTACTGTATTTTCTAGCCTTACTTGTTAATCTAGTTCACAATGAGCAGGGCAGAACTCACTGAATATTTGATTGTTAGTTATATAGTTATATATATTAATAGTTATATTGATTATTAGTTATATCGCTACTAACGACAGTCACCTGTTTAGAGAGCTGCTCCTCGCACAGCTTGTATAGAGTGAAGAATTTCCTGGCTAGTTCAATATTGTCAATGAAGCCACAGCTTGCCAGTTTCACTCTGATAATTATCTGTCTGTCAGGAACCATCATCGCCACTGAGCGGAAGTTAATTTTCAGATTCTCTGGAAGTTCTTGCCGCCCTGCATATCCAGGATTCTGAACAGAAGGAGAAAAAAAGGTGAAAATAACAACATACTGTATATGTGTAAACTTTTTCCACTATAACCACCAATTCATTGGATCTTTTCTCACAGATTTTCACAAACAGTAATGAGATATCTATAAGTAACTGTAAAATGTTTCATGTGTTCTATATAATATGAAAAAGAAAATAGGAGGAATTTACCAAGCATAAATAATGTTCTCTGCATCTCATTATATGGCCTTATTAGTAGTAAAAATCATGGTTATGCATAGCTTCAGTGGTTTATTGTTTTTAGAAATGTCTAATTTTTATTGCTTTTTTTTTTTAAAGAGTGGCAATATGATAAAAGCCACCAATAAATAATACATTGCAACTTGCCACAATAATACAGGATTCAGTTGATGTGCAGTCACAGTTGAGTTCCTACTTCCTAGTGTTAAAGTAAATATTTGTGAGATGAGTGATGTTTTAGAGAAGACACAAAGACACCAGCTCACCATGGTGAGGAATATGCCAAATTCTGGGTTCATCTCCACGTTATCTCCATCTGTAAAGATGAAGTTCTTCCGCCGTTCTTTCTTGCAGGTGAGTACAATGGCGATTTGCTGAGCTGCTACTGAAAGCACTGGCAGGTCGATACGGTTAAACTCATCAAAACAACCCCAGGAGCCAGACTGAGCAAGACCTAGAAAGAAAGAAAAAAAATCATCATCTTCAAGCATGCAAAAAGAACATGAATAAAATGACAAAAATCAAAGAAATGGGTTACTCATGTTCAATTTCACACACCATATCATCTGAAAATGACTTGCGTATGGGTAATGAATTAGAGATGATTACTTACAGAGTTCACATGTTTTGTCATTTATGATTACATAACATGAATATGATTTTATTTAACTTGCAAGAATAAAGTTACATTTGTTTTTAAAATGTGCATTGAGCACACATGTGGCACCTTTGAATATTCTGCCCAAGCCTCTGAAGTCCATCTGGTCGGAGCAGTTGAATACCACCACATATTTGCCCAGACAGCGGCCCATGTCCTTAGTAGTTTCTGTCTTTCCTGTCCCTGCTGGCCCAGCTGGGGCTCCACCCATGCTCATTCCCAGAGCTTGAGCTAAAGTAATGTAGCATCTGGGAAATATATTGAAAATGGCTTTAATATCATGCAGAGATGAATATATTTTAATCTTAATCAAAAAGTAGCATTTGCACTGCAAATAAACATTTTCTTAATCAGTATTTTTGTCTGTTGTCCAGTAAAAAATATTTGAACACTCATAACACATGATGCATTCAGATGTATTTATAACTACTATTAGTACATCATCATCATCTTCATCATCATTATTGTTTTTTATTATTGGCATATGCATTTAGCATATTTACAACAAAATGTTACTTTTTAAATCCATACATATTCTCTGAAGAAAGTGATATGAAAGTGATGAAAACTTAAAGTAATATTTTACGGAATTTTGTTTTTTAGGGGCTGAAGATACTGATTGACTGTATGGAAAGTAAAAAAAAATGTGCTAAATGTAATGTATATTTATATATATTTATGTATATTTTGCTTAAAGACCATTGTTTCTGTTTTTTGCATTGTGATATTTTTGTGACAATTAAGGCCTAAATTCACATTATCATAATGTAAAAAATAAATAAATAAATAAACAAATAAAAATAATAATTCTCATTACTGTAAAGTGATATATTATTTCAGTTTGTATACATACTAGTAGTATTTGTTGAGCAGCCTTTAATTTATGAATATTTAAATTTTAAAAACCATAGTATTACAACATGTATTACAGTAATGATAATCTAATGAGAATCACCATTGTGAATATTAATTTTCCTTATGAATAATATAATTTCTTATGCTAATCCTTTTCTTGGACTTTTGTATTTTGTTCTGGGCACAATTTATAATTGTATGATCTATAAGAAATCACATCTGAATTGTAATTATACATAAATGGCCCCACAGAGGAAAAACAGAGGTAAACAAGCTTGTAATTGCCAGCAGCACCTGTCAGTGAGAGGAGTGATGACCAGCCTGTCGGTGCAGCCTAGAAACTCATTCTGGTACTCGAAACCCACGTCAGTGATGTTGATCATCATCTTATCCGAGTCTTCATTAAAGTAAAAGCGGCATTGCTTCAACCATTCAAAGTCTGTGGGACTTTTGATGTGCAAACGACACTGTGTGACAAGAGATTAGGTTTTGCTGAGTGGTTATCTTCTAGAGTTGTCTCAAAGACATGTCTACGAATGCTTATAACTGTCTGAGTGCTGTTTGGCATTCAGTCATGAGATATTAAAGGGGTCATATGATGCGATTTCAAGTTTTCCTCTCTCTTTGGAGTGTTACAAGCTGTTCGTGAATAGATAAGATCCCTAAAGTTGCATAGACTAAAGTCTCAAACCCAAAGAGATACAGTATTCTTTATAAAAGTAAGACTCGTTCACACCCTCCTAAAACGCCTCGTTTAAACACGCCCCCACATGTCTACGGCACTGTGTGGGAAGATTTGCATAACACCTCCCAAATGCATACGCAAAGAAAGAAGGCGTAACTTTGATTCTTGCTGTAGTATTTTTGCTGCTGCGGCCATGTTGTGGAGACCGCATAAACACATTTCATTACACCAAATAAACAAAATAATGTTATTTTTTAGCAACGTCATATGACCCCTTTAAGACGTCCAACCTTGCCAGTTGACATCCAAATTATGAGGAAGCTTATTTAAGTTTAAAACATTAAGAAACAAACCCAAAAATGACTGCAATTTTGTAATTTGGGTGTCTGTCATTAGCTAAATTGCCTTTTGTAAATTGGCAATTGCAAAGCTTTAAAAATTGAGGTTTGTTTACCAGAGGATAATAAAGTTCTAAAATCCTTACATGCTGAACTCAAATGAGCAACTGACAACAATGCAGAGACTTTATTAGAATAATAATGAGGCAAGATCTTAAATTAAGTTGTTACTGAGCAATCGTAGCATATACCATATAAATTGGATTAATAGAATCTAAATTAAAGGTGATGATACATAGGCATCTTTTTTGAGAAATGTTGCTTGGGCACTTTCCCATTGAGAATTGGCAACAAATTTCTATCTGGATACTTTAGATCGGTTGTGGCCCTGTGTCTCACCTGGTTGCCCATTGACGGCAACGTTGCCCAGCAACATTGCTCAAAAAGCTGCCCCGTGTATCATCACCTTAAGGCACTCACCAAATCATCAAAGATGTCCCTCTGGTGCACGTGAATGGTGATTAGTGTTTCATATTTTGTCCGTTCAACAGCTCCAAGGTCCTTTGTGGTCATGTCAATCAAATTGTTGAGGAGCTCAAGAAAAAAATGGTTGGTTTTAGCCATGATCTTACGGTCATATCTGGCATTGCTCAAAGCATCCTCAGAATCCTTCGTCCAGATCATCTGGATTCCCAGTAAACCAACCTAAATAAAAGAAACCAGCTGTCCGGTTAATATACTGTATCATTTTGCTCAATTTACAGTACAAGTTGTGGTCACAAGTGATCACTGTCACTATTTTGTCACTACCTGTGCAGGAAAGGAGTCCAAAAATTTGATCAACTCAAAGCCAGAGTCTTGAATGGCAAGTGCAGCCTGACGGATGACAAGGTGTAAAGACCTCTGGGATTCTTTCAGTAGTGCATTAAGCCAGACCTCCACATTGCCCTCCGCTATAACGGGCCTGTCCAGCTCAACTGTCTCACCTTCTCGGGATGATATTGCCAGAATCTTATCATGCATCTAAAAGCAAATTGTTGCAATAATGCTGGTTTAATTTTGCAGCAGATATTTTTAAGTAAATAAAAAAAAAATAATCCTAAAACATGACAATGACATGCACCAACTGTTCCAGCATGTCTAAATTATTGGAACGGAAGGTCAAAGAGTAATATTTTGCTTATTTAAAGTATTGATCACCTTTTCATGGAAGCGGACACATTTGATGTTGTCAAAGATGTTGAGCAGGTGAGCCTGGATGGTGTGTGAGTCAGATGCTTGGCCCAAAATCTCCAGCAGGGCAGGATCTGACACAAAGAAGAAACGTGGAAATAGCAATCGCTTCTTCTCCAGATACCTGCAAAGTAGAAAAAAAATGCGGAAATCAGCTGCAGTATGAAGAGCTCTACTCAACCTCACAAAAAATGCAACTCAAAAATTTGAGATTTCAGAAATTAAAAACACCGATTTAATTTCCCACTCAACCTACTGTCACCTGTGACAACAGAACTGCAAAGTTCCCAGGTGCATCTTGGTATAGAAACTGATCCTGAAATAAGGACTTGAGTGACGTACCCTGTGAGGGATTTTTGACACATCTCTAGCTGTTCCAGCAGGTGAGGCAGCAGCTGACCCATAGTCTCATCTCCAACACACGACTGGACTACATTGGGCATTTCATGAGCTCGAGTCATGATTTTCACCCAGGATTTATCAATGTTGGAGAACCGCTTTGCCTCCTAAAATGGAAAGATTAATTTGACATTGTTAATAAGATTTTCTCATTAGTATTAATTTCATTGATAAAAATCTAATTTTTGTAATGCAAAAACAATGTAATTATTTTACTTTAAGTAGGGCTGGGTGGTATGATGGTATATATTGGTACGACGGTATAAAGTGTCTATCGTTAGAAATTTTGCTATTGTTTATTTCACTGTATGCAAATATATCCACGTAACACAGTACTAGTTCAAAGTTATACACATAAGAGTGATGAAACGTATGAGAAAATAAAGAGTGAGATGTGTTTGATGTTAAACAGAGTTATTAAGCTTAATAAGATGTGAAAAGAACCTGATGTGGTGCTCACACGGTAGCATTCGATCACTAATTCAAATAAGTTCTCTTTTGTGTCTTATAGCGCTTGAATGGTCACATAACACACAACAGTTATGTCAAAATCGTGTGGATTATTCACATAAACACAGTTAGTTATGTGTTAAATAAACAAACAGTTGGGTGAAAACCGGATGTGTATCAGTACAATATATTGGATCCTTGCATTCAGTCTTAAAGTTTAAGACTAAAGGGACAGCATTCTAGCTGCTGTCTATGTCAATAATGTTAATTAAACAACAAAAGACAAAGACAAAATCACTCACTGCTCTTGACTGAATCACTTTGTATCTTTAATAAGAATCAGTTCATATTTGATTCATACAGTGAAGACTACACAGTGTTTTAGTTTTACACTTGATTATTCAATTTCTGTAATATACATTTCTACATGTTAGGCTAAATAAACCTACTGTAGCTGAATTTTTTTTGTAAAACTTTTGTAGCTGAAAAAGTTACATTTTTATCTTTGTTCTATTGTATTTGTCCTATTGTTTGTAATTTGCTCCTTTGTTCTTATTTTCAACAACAAAAAATAATATAAAATAAAATAAAACAAAACAAAATAACTAGATTGAGATATACTGTATATTGTTATTGTGAAATAAAAATGTTCATACCGTGAAATAAGGTCATATCAACTAAGTGTAAGGATATATTGTTTCAATCATAAAGTGCATTTGTAAACCATTTTAAGTATGTAATTATAATGAGTTTCTTATGCTTTTCTATTGTATGGAGAAACACAACAAACATATCGTAAAATCCATCTTGTCTTGTAACATTTTTAAAAATGTAAGCAGACACTTAGCAGACACTTTTATCCAAAGCGACTTACAAATGAGGAGAGGAGATTTTAAAGAAAGGGTTTAAGAAAGGGAATTAAATAAGACAGTTTAAATAAGCAGAAAACTGAACAATATTAATCTTAAACTGATTTAAACACATTCACTGCATTTCAGGCAGTTAGTAAACATGCTCCAACACATTGAGCTATGATACTCATATGGGATATGTGGGTTTGAAATCAGTCATTGTCTTGACCTAGTCTTGTTTCTTCACTCTTTTCCCCATTGTTTCTTATGGAAGCCCGTTTCCGCCACTGAATAAAAAATAAAAAAGGTAACTGCGACTTTTTATCTCACAATTCTGACTTTTTTTCTCATAATTGCGTGATACAAACTCACAATTCTGACTTTTTTTCTCATAATTCTGATTTTTTTTCCTCACAATTCGGATGCAATTGCGAGTTATAAAGTCAGAATTGTGAGATATAAACTCGCAATTCTGAGAACATATCAGTCCCACCCCCCTCAAAATTAGACATTAACTTCGCAATTATGAGTTTATATCATGCAATTCTGACTTTATAACTCGCAATTGCGTGTTATAAGGTCAGAATTGCGAGATATAAACTCGCAATTGTGAGAAAAAAAGTCAGAATTGTGACTTTATATCTTGCAATTCTGACTTTATTTCTCACAATTGTGAATTTATATCATGCAATTCTGAGAAACAAAGTCAGAATTGTGAGTTTATATCTCGCAATTCTACTTTATAACTCGCAATTGTGAGTTTATATCACGCAATTCTGTGAAAAAAAGTCAGAATTGTGAGATAAAAAGTCGCAATAACCTTTTTTTTATTTTTTTATTCAGTGGCAGAAACGGGCTTCCATAATTTCTTCACTTTCAGTACGATGGTTAAAATCTAGGTGTCAATGTATGGAAGACTGAATTACTGATACTACCTTCGGCAGCTGTTTGGCTATGTCTCCAGCAACAAAAACAGCCTCAAGGTAAATCCAGAGGTTTTGCACAGTCATCCAGTTCTCAATGATGTCTGTTGTGTTGGAGAGGTTCTGAACCCACTTCTGGATCTGAGCTTTGAACGGTGTATTGTATCTACAGAGAGACACAATGTCATGGACATCAGAGAATATGCTTAATAATTGGTATTGATTCATTCCACCATTTAAATGTAATGCCACAACACAGTCAATTTGTAAAATTCACAAGTAAATAATGTTATACTTTATTACAATAGTCCACTTTCTGACATTCTAATAACTATAAGTAAATTTGCAACTACATGTCAACTAACTCTTATTAGACTAGTAGACTGTTAGGTTAGGGTTAGGGTTAGTAGAATAAGTTGACATGTCCATGCAAAGTTACTTATAGTCAGTAAAATGTCTGTTAGTGGACCATCTAAATAAAGTGTTAGCAGATATTAAACAGATAATCTACTAATACTTTAATTAACATGTAGTGGCAAAGTTACTTAAGGAAAAACAAAAAAAGGAAAAATGCTACCTAACAGACTATTATAAAACCGCTGTGGATATCTTCATAGCCATGAAAGGTCACTTGAAATAAACTACTGTAACTGCACAAATTACATGTTGGTCTAACGCCTCACCTGTTGCTCATAAGTGAGCCAAGCACCATCAGACTGTCCTCCATGTTAGTAATGATCTCAGATGTGCTGTCTCCTCTCAGAAGGAGCTCACCTCTGGTTTTAAAGTGAGCAAAGGTAAAGGTCTTGTTGTCCCATTCCGCAATTACTTGCTTGAGTTTCTGCTCGATGTCACGCTCCTTCACAGCACTAATACAGATGTCCTGCACAAATGGTTGTTACACTTATTATGGAATTCTTTATTTAATTTTGTGAAATAAAGAGCTTTAAAGCCAAAACTACGATCTATCTATCGATATCTATAAAACTAAATTCTGACCTCAATTTCTTCTTTGTACTTCAGCAGTGGGGCTTCCATGATGTTGCGAAGCTTGAAGTTATCAGTTTCGACTTCAAAGGTGTGACCTGTAACCTCAGTAATCCTCTTCCAGTGACGGGTCATCATGGCTTTGTTAGTCATTAGATCCAGCAGAGGGCAGCACTCGCTAAAATCGTCAATAGTTTTTTTGAGGTCCAGAAATGCCTGCCACTCTTTAAGGGCCCGTGGCAGCTTACGGCACCTGCAAAACAAAACAAAACAAAAAAACAAAACAAATCTCAGCAGGGTAATGCATTTGCCGAATATTGCACTGGGCGTTAGGATTAAAGTTCATTGTTGTGCCTGATTTCATGTTTAAAAATAACTATTATTAGATTTGTGAAATTTTGTCCACTATTAGTGAAAATGAATGTTGTTTGACTGTGCATAAACCTTGCTGACTGCAAATGACTTGTTGTAAACCATAAAAATATTCATTCCCATTGTATTGAACTCTAGTATATGTAAATTAAATCTGACAGAAAACTCTTCATTCATCCTATTATTATGAAAAGATTATTGTGTTACACTGGTACTTGCTCCGAAACAGCTGACTTTAATTTCAGTCCTTGACAGGCATGAAGAATTGATTCTATTTTCTGAGAAGCTTCTGCGATTACCCAGAACAGACCAGCACAAATGAAATCCCCTGGTGCTTTCATGCTTTTCAGTGTAACTTATTATATGACTGCCAGAGAGTGGATATTCAGGAATTTAGTTTGACTTCTGTAACCTTCTCACCTCGACTGAAACTCAAGTAGTTCATTGTTGATTCTGTCAATATTGATGTCGGCCCATGAGATGTCATAGTAGCCATTGACTGTGTCAATGACACTGTTGTAGAGTCCATAGAGCTTTTGGAGAAGTGTCAACTGTTTCCTGATCTCAAGCAACTGAGGATGCTGGGTAACAGGTAGGCCAAAAAGCTCCTCCCCACCTGTGTATGTTATATACTTGCGGAACAGGTTGTCAAAGCGATTCTGTGGAACATCAGACCATTTTAGTAAATAAACTAAAGCAAGCATTCATTTATATGTACATAAACAAAACATGTACACAACATTATGTAAATAATAATAATAATAATAATAATAATATGTATATAAAAATAAATAACAATAATATTAATAATAAATTAGACCAGTATAAAAATGTGCTTTAAATAAATGATTCAAATTCAAATGTCACTTTAGTTTCACTTTTTCTCAGTGCAGTGCAGCATTTTTTTTCCCCTAGTTGACCAATTAACCACTCAGAATAAAGTATCCAGTTAATGCAGTTATATTATGATAGCATTTCAATGAAATTAAAGTTATGTTTATGTTTATGGAAACAGACATGGTAAATTACCTGAAACATTATAAGCCTGTCACTGGCATCCTGAGGAGCCAATCCAACCACCATGGGGCCATCCTGAGGATTTGACGTGTGCAAAACCAGAGAAACATATGGACATATTGTTAAAAGTAACCATGGTTTTATTGTAGTTAAAATTGTGTAGTAAGCATTGTTTTTTGGCGTATTGATTACCATTTGTTTAACCACAGTTTCTTCAAAGAATCACTTTGATGTTTGTGTGGTTTGATTTCTAGCAATTTTATGTTACAGAACACCCAAAAGAATATAAATGCAGGAAAACAATTGTGTTTGGGCTTGAAACTGTAATTTCCTGAAGGAACATCTCAAAGTGAGAGTAGTGGATAGATAGAGTTTACCTGCCTCTCAGGACTCACCCCGTCATAGTCATGGTAGAAGAGTTGGCAGTCTTCCACAAAGATCTCAACGTTTCTGATGAGTTCTCCCCTGAAGTTTGGTTGAAGGGTCACCAGCTCATTCTGCACCTCTGTGCTACGGGAAAGCAGTTTCTCCCAGGTGTACCGAAGTGTGTCCACTTTGTCTGCTTCCTCTTTGGCAATCAACAATCCATATTTATGTAGCATGCTGTACGATTCCTGCAGGCCAAAACCAGAGAAAGAGACATTGCCGTTATACCAGAGGACAATACATAAATTGTGTTCTGTCCCTATTTATTGTACATTCTTAATGGCATAGTCCACACAAAAATGTATATCACTTTAGTTTAAGGGCCAATACTTCAAAATTTATTTTAAAAAATTAAATATAATAAAGACCCTGCATTCTTTATTTTTCTTTTGTGTGTACCTCAATTGGACCAACTTGAAAGTCTATGGAGATTTGGTGTTCTCTGATCTCTTTGAGCATTGCCATGGCGATACGAATATCATCCAAGTCTTTAATTTGCCTGTTGAGTTTCTTGCTCGCCTCATCTATAAAAGTGAAGATCTGTTCCATCTCCATGCGATACTTCCTGTTGCAGTGGTGACCAAAATCCACCATCCAACTCTTTGTCTCAGCAGTAAGAGCCAATTTTAGATCCGCTGTAGGTAAATTCAGCAACACACAAAGAATAAAGAGCTCTATTTGTAGTTTAATAAACATCCAATTCTTTCTTTCAGAAATCTGTCATAAATACACTGCTATTTACGTATCATAAATGTTTAAAATTAGAAATAATTAATGAATATAAATAAAATTAATTTAAATAAAAAATAATAATATGCATATATAATAATCTAGAAACAAGAACAGCAAAATTAAGCATGTTCACACCATTGCTGCAATCATTAAATAAACAAACCTCTTATCTGTATGTTAACCTCTCAATCACTATTAGCATGCTCAGTTTCTACTGATTCAGAGTCTGTCTACCTGTATATAGTGCCAGAGCTCCTACTGAGATAAATTCAGGCTTTGCATTAATTTCTAGCTCAAGATCCCTGTAGTATAGAATCTGAGACTCAAATTCAGAAAGAAGAGGGTTCCCCTGGATGAATTTCTGGATGGTTTCCTCTCGATCTTTCTTCCAGATGTGGTGATAGAGGCTGAAGCGATCCAGAGCGTTCACTTTTTCCTGTGTAACAGTACATGAGAAGTATCATACATTACATGTAACACACCATAAAATATCACATTGTCACGTTATAAACACAACCATGTAAAACAAACACATTCAATTAAAGCTATACAGACTTGCTCCCATGGGACATTCATATTTCTGACTTGAATATCCAGATTCAAGAAAAGAAAGAAAGAAAGAAAGAAAGAAAGAAAGAAAGAAAGAAAGAAAGAAAGAAAGAAAGAAAGAAAGAAAGAAAGAAAGAAAGAAAGAAAGAAAGAAAGAAAGAAAGAAAGAAAGAAAGAAAGAAAGAAAGAAAGAAAGAAAGAAAGAAAGAAAGAAAGAAAGAAAGAAAGAAAGAAAGAAAGAAAGAAAGAAAGAAAGAAACTAAAACAGACCTTCCTGGTGGAGTTGATGGACGTACTAAGCACAGAGACCAGCTTCACAATCTCTTTGTTCTCAGATATGCTTTTGTGGTAGTTCTTAATTTGGATGGGAATGACCTGGTTTGCAGATGCTGATATATCTGAGGTACTGCCTTCTGGAGGAACAAAATGTTCAAAGATGAGAAGGTTAATAAACAAGAGCAGACAGGAGCTGTGAGACAAGAATGTCTCTGAAAAACATGATTCAGAAATATTATCTTTTTGGCTCAAAACAGTTATATGAAGGACCCTTTATCTTTGATTTGTTTCAGGGGATGAAGGGTTTACAGGCAGAGCTGCTTCATTACAGTAATAAGAGATATGTTGTTGTGACACTGTTGTACGCTGTCAATTCTGTGTCAGTTTCCTTATTCTGAGAGGGAGTGATGGAGAGAGAATAAACGTTGTGGATAAGATTGTTACCGTGACGCTAGGGACATGTCACCACTTCACAAAATCACACCCACTGTCTGCATTCATTATCTTTATTCCCCAGTTTTATTTATCAAATGACTGGAGATGAACTTATCCATCCAGAGCTTCAATTTTCAACCATTATAAAGACAAATTTTAAACTGACCAAAGACCTATTATTTCTTGATTTGCTCTGCTTAGCTGTATAATTACAGAGGATGGGTAAGAGTCGTACCGGCTAGGCTGCGATAGGTCGATTCACCATCTTCTGATTCACTCTCTTGGCTGTTCTGTTTCAGAGCGGCCATGCGTCGCTCACTCATTTTCCTCTGTGACAGCAAAAATACTCAAGTCTGACATTTTGCATACATTACACTCAAACAAGAACTACATAGATTTTGTATGGCAACTTCTGAGATCATGTCAGTTCAAGAAAGCAAAATAATTATAGAGTATGAGAATAAAAGGTGAATAAAATGGGTAAAGTACACTATAAGCTACTCAAACTCAACATGAAATTGCACTTGAAACCCATTTTCCTTATATAATGTGACATTTTCAAGTGAAACAGGATTTTTAACAAAAAAGAATGCCAGGTGGGACTTTTTATCAAGAGGGTGGGGTGAACAATAAGAGGCCTTGTTGACCTGAAAAGGAAATGTGTTTCAGGGCATATTTGCCTTTACCATCAAGGTTGGCTATTTGCACATAAAAAAATGTAAATGCGTATATCTCTTAAAAGTTAATTGAGTCAGATAGCCCTTTAAGCAAACACACATGGGCTAAAAGCTAAAAAAAATGCTTGGACTTTTTGTAATTTGTAATATCAATTACTCATATTATTGGCACTAAGAATGAGATTTAGCAGACAAGTGTATTAACAATGACTCATCTCAGTGTACTACATTGAAAATAAATAAATAAATATATACATAACTAAATAAATACCTTGGAAATTCTCTCCTTGCTCCACTGTCCAACTCCTTTACTGACGCTGACCAGACAGTCCACAGCTCTGTTCAAGGCTTGCTGAACCTCATCTAGCCCTGGAACTGTGATGATGTTGGGGATGGCTAAACACACTCCCACCCTAAAGATGGGCTGCTGCCCACTTCCCCTCTGCCGAATTGAGGAGTCTGCATCTGCTGCATCGGAAGTTACATTTAATAACAATGAGTTAGAGTTGACCAACCAAGTGATTATATGAAGCTTCATGCTTTGAAAATAAATATAAACGTAGGGTCAAAAATGCTCCCCACTGTGATTTTGCTCATTTTCAAATTGGTTCTATGAATTTGTCACTGTTACAAGTGAGGCTCCCGTACTGCCTCTCTTGCACCACCAGAGGGAACCATCACATGAATATTGACTGTTTTGATTCGGACTTCAATTCCCATCAGCCTTCATACCTGGGACTGATTGCACTACACCTGCATCCAATTAGTCACTCACTCATATACGCATTTAAGGACTGCTCACTCACACTCTCATTGCGAAGTCTTGATTTGCTACAGTTGTCAATTCTGAGCGTTCTTCTGTGGATTACCTTATCTGTGATTGAACCTGGACTGTACTCTCATGTCTGATCCTTGCCACCTGCCTCGACCCTCTGCCTGTTACTTGGACTGTGATTGTTTATCTGCCTGCCCCGACCTCACGCCTGTTCTCTGGACTGTAAATTCTCTGCCTCTTCTGTGTTGCTGCCTCCGTACTGTATTAATCATTGTGATAATAAAGCTGCAGATGGATCCTCACTCTTCTGACTCATCGTTACAGTCACACTGATCAACAGAAAGCTGCTCTGTTTGAAAGTAACAACTGTGTGAGAAGTGCTATTCTAATTGACAATAGAAATTGTGCTGATGCAAAATAAATAAATAAATAAACCTTTTGACTTAATCAAAACCCTTTTTAAATAAACCAAAAATAAATGTACTGAAGTATTATCAGTAAAACCACTGAAGGAAGTGACTTCACAAACCCAGGAAATGCATCAGTGATGACGCATGGATGCGTTTGCGTAGAGTCTCCAGTGTGTTACGGGTAAGGCGCAGTAATGCATCCACGTTCCGGTGGTTGAAATGAGACAGCAGCTCCTTTGCCTCCTCCTCCATCACCTTCATCAAATCCTTCTTTTTCTTCTTTCTCATCAGCGGAGAAGAGGGGCCAACACTAGGGGCCATGGTGCTACGTGACAAGAGACGGCCCTCTGATTTAAATTCCTCCTCTCCTTTGGATAAACAAAACAGAAATGATCACAAAATATTACTGTAAGCACTTGGAATATGAGAAGCTACTACTCATTAATATTCTTTGGTTTTCCTGCATTTTCTGCATATTTGAACCCTTTTCAACAGTGATATTAAGATTTTGAGATTCATCCCTTAACACTGAGAACCATGTCAAGTCAAGTCACCTTTTATTTATATAGTGCTTTATACAGTACAGTGTCAGGGATTCATCACAGTCACTTCAGTCACCATCCAGGATAATTACCCGATCACAGTCACCTGAGTTCTGATCACCCGCACCTGCTGTCACCAATCAAGCCACACTACAAATACACACACAGCACAGTCACTCACTGTCCGGTCTACCGTTCACTCCTACGAACTGCTCTGGACTCTCTCTGCCAAATTCTCCTAGAACGAATTACCTGCTGTTCCTCCCGCGATCCTCCAACGACTCATTGGAAACTGTTCCACGATCTCCAACGTAACCGGCATCCGATCCTCACCATCAGAACTCAGATAAGCACCCTGGAACCATTCACTGTGTTGACACTCACCTGCCTTTAACTCACCTATTCCAGTCATCCCCTTACCCAGTCAATAAACCATCCTGATTTGCACTTACCTGTTGTGTCTGGCCTTGCTTTGTGACATACAGATTGTGTCAAAGCAGCTTTACAGTGTTAAACAGGAAAATGTGTGCTGATAATGCAAGAGGACAATTGAAAACAGTTAAAATTAAAGTCAGTTCATCTGAAGTATTAATCATCGTCCAGCTCAGCAGCTCTTACCATCACTGTCCATCTGTTCCACTTTGCTCTCTGTTCTGCTCTCATCCCGGTTTCTCTCTCCTTCCTCCTTCTGCTCAAATTCCAGTAACATATTAATCAGCTCATTGGCTGCCTCCTCCACCAATGAGCTTTTGGTATGCAGCATTTGGGCTCCTTTGATGCAAAGCTCCTAAAATGGGAAATAAATTCAATGAGCATGATCAAATTGATTATTTCTGTATTCCGATGGATTATATCTTCATGGTCCAGGTGACAAGAAATTGGGTTTTAAAAAGATGGAATAGCAAATGGCAGTGGTAACGAGACACCAACAAATACTATAGAGTAGGGTTGTCAACAGTACTGTTTTTTTGGTACCATTTTGATACCAAAATGTAATGAAAAAAATGTAAAAATGTCAGTCTCTGTACATTATCTGCAGTACTGACTCAATCCAGTTACCAAACGGGTTTCCCCTAAAATTTGGTAGGCATTCTGACTAAATAAAATGCTGTACCCACCTGGCAATGGCCCTCATCAAACTAAAAGACTGAAAGTGAATAAGAACAGTTGCTGTACAAATCACATCGTACAAATTTACCACCACGTCAAATAGTTTTCAAATGAGATCGAGTTGAAAGAGTCCTATAATTTCACTGATCTGCATTTATATACTTTAGCAAGTGGAATTGGTTCTGCCTCAATATCCTCTGAAAAATAACAGCATGTTTCTATGAATACATAATATGACATTTTTTATGTACTGTATATGTATGTGTGTACCTTGGTGGTCTGTACAAACTCCTCGCAGGTGCATGGCTCATCTTCAGGCAACACACACAACGTAGTCAAGCTCATTTCCTGCAGAACCGCGTCGATTCTAAACTCCACCAGATCATTCACTCTTTGCAGCAGAAGTTCAAGGTCCTCTGTGAACCAGGAGAAAGAACCTTTTCATTTCAAATATCTAATCATACTGGGCACATTTACAAACATCTTATGTACACAACAATGCCGGAAGTATGTGGACATTCCTTTGTACACACTAATGCTTGCTTCTGAATGGCAGCAGATCCTAGCAGGCATGTTCCCACATAAAGTGCAAAGCATTCCAAGAAGATTAGAAGCTGTTTTAAAGACATTGTGAGGACCAGCTTCCTATTAATGCCAGTGGCCTTGACATTAAATGTTCAACAAGTATATAATTGGGTGTCCACATATTGTACTTGTGGCCATTTACTGTACTGTATGTTCCTAATGTGGTCATGGAAATCAGCTGTAAAGTGGAGTCTCTCACCAAGTGCAGTAGTGATTCGATTAAGGTATTTCTCAGTGTTTAGAGAGGTCCAATTGAGGGAGGTCAGACCGGGCAGAATGGCCTCATCTACTTTAGCCACATGTGGCATGAGCAGTTGTTCAAAGGCTGGCTGGATCTTAGACCTCACTCTGGAGTTCTCTCTCACCATCAACTGAAGCAAGGAACAAACAAGGCAACAGATCACAAGCAAAGAAAATTGTGAACTCTCAGAGGATTGACAAAAATGACGAGAGAATATTAAAAATATCTTCATTTGTGTTATGAAAATGAACAAAAGTCTGAACAAGGTTTGGAATGACATGAGTAAATGATGAAAAAAACTTAGAAGATGAAATATCTAGTTCAGTCATGAAACTCGTCATGGCACAGGCTGATAGGTTCTTAATGCAATCTATAAACAATGACATCATCCAGCATGGCACAAGTTGACTGGCCTCTGCTGATTCTGCAGCCAATGAGCTTGCTACTTAACTTTTAATAGTTTGGTTAACACTTTAGTTTAGGGGCCAATTCTCTCCATCTAGTTGCTTATTAGCATGCATATTACATAGCATAGTGGCAGTTTAATAGTATTTATAAAGCACATATTAATGCCTTATTCTGCATAACAATATTTTAGATCCCTTATAACCCACACCTAAACTTAACAACTACCTTACTGGCTATTAATAAGCAGCAAATTAAAATTTATTGAGGCAAATGCCATAGTTAATAGTTGCTTAAAAGTGAGAATTGGTCCCCAAACTAAAGTGTGACCATAGTTTGGTTCAGAAACCCTCCACCTCCCCCGGCTCCACCCATATAGATCTGCTACAGGTAATTTAATGTATGTTATATGTACAGCGGCAGCAGCATGCCTTACATGGTCACAGCAGCATGTCTGTGGATATACTGACAGTAGCAATTATCTGTGCTTGCTCTGCAGATTTATTCCACCTAGACCAAACACATTAACACTGTCACATGCATCACCATGCCAAACTACTCTGAGAGTTGTCATGACTGAACTATATCTATAACCATCAGCAATAATAACAGTAGTAACAGTGATGCATGCCTTAGTTGATATACCTGAAGTTTATTGTAGCTCTTTTTGAGAACATCCTTTTTCTGCTGCAAGATGGCTGCAAAGGGTGGAATCTCCAATCCCATTCCTAGCATACTGTCTGTTTCTCGAATCTGGGTCAGGATCTGGGGGTCAAAGTTCACGTACAGCTCCCCAGTTTCTGGACTCTTGACGAGCAAAGAGGCTTGCAGGCCCACTTTGACTGCTTCAGTCTATAGACACAATAGATGAATATGACTGGCTATTTAGTTAAAACAAAGATAAAATTGCATTTAATTCATTTAATTATTGCAAGACCAGAATTGATTTCTATAAAAATCTATACAATATTTATTTTAAAAAACATGTATATAATCTAAAAAGGGAGGAAAGTAAATAAATCAACAATTACAGGGTAAGAAAATTAAAACACATCACCAAGTGAAAGTGGCACATGAGCAAAGAGCCAAATGTGTCTAAAGCAAGCAGTCAACAGTACCTTATTTTGACTCTATAAGACAACTGACCTGTGCCATCCAGTTCTGATGATAAAGCACCTCAAACTCCAGCAGCACCTTGGCTACCCGGTTGTAATTTCGAATGATGGGTTTGGCATCTGGAGTGCTGAGTAGCCCAGGCATCTCCTGGAAGAGATCCATGGGCTCCTGGATGCAGCTGTACAGCTGCCGAGCCCACAAGATACTCCCTGCGATCGGAGGGAGGTCTGGAGCAATGGGGGGGTCCGTCTTCTGCTTGGTGTAAATTCGATAGACCATCTCAATGTCCCTTCCGAAGTTTTGCAGAATTTTCTGGTACTTCTCACTGATGCCCAAGTCTGAGATGCCAAGCCTGGTGAATATGAAAATGACGGGGGATGTGTGTAGTGCAAAATGTGGAAAATAAATAAATAAATAGTTTTTAAAACTTCCAAATAATTGTTTTGCTTTTAAATATTCAAGGAAAATAAATAAAATAAACCATTAAAAAACATAGTTTCCACAAAAATATTAAGCAGCACGACCATCTCCAACTGTTATAGTAATAATAAATGTTTCTTGGGCACCAAATCAGCATATTAGAATGTGTGAAGGATCATATGACACTGAACACTGGAGTAATGACTGCAGAAAATTCAGCTGTGCAATAACAGGAAAAAGATACATTTTAAAATATATTAAATCTGTTTTTCAAAATTGCAATAAAATTTCACAGAATCACTGTATTTTTTTATACAATAAATGCAGCAACAGAAGCATTATAATTATTGGTATCCCTTTAGATTAAGGAACACATATTCACTATTAACTTGGAGTTTTCCCTCGATAAACCCCTAATCTGCTGCTTATTGATAGTTAATAAGGCAGTTGTTGTAGTAGTTATGTTTAGGTATTGGGTAGGGTTAAGGGATCTAGAATATGGTCATGCAAAATAAGGCATTCATATGTGCTTTAAAAGTACTAATAAACAGCCGATATGCTAGTAATATGCATGGCAATAAGCAAGTAATTAATAGTAAATAGTGCTCCCTAATCTAAAGTGCTACCCATTTCTTACCAACTCCAAACATATATATCACCCTTGTTATTTTGTTATTAAAAAAAATAATAATTACATATTACCTTTCAAATTTCTTGAGCACATATAAAGCCCGCTCAGTATTTTGAATTCTGTCAAATGTGTTGTCCATGAAAGTTTTCAGTTGGTTCTAGAAATAAATATTTAAAGGAAAGTAATCATTTTATAGCAAAAAATAAATAAATAAATAAAATAAACAAAAATAAAAACTGAAAACATACTTACATGAAGTTCACTAGTTTGTTTACAAAATTCATCATAGTCCTGATCAAAGTCTGTCCTTCTTTGGTCCAGGAAACTGTACTGTTGTTTCTTCATGGTCAACACAATGGCCTGGACATTCAGAGGACAATATAATTGCCAAAAACAAAGAAACTTGTAGTTGCCAGAGATGTGGTTTGATTAAATTTTTTTTTTTAAACTATCTTAGTTTTATTTATTATATGCCGAAATGTGGTATAGTTCACCTAAAAATTTAGATAATTTATTATGTCATCGCTTTTTCAACCTCATATTGTTCAAGATTGTTTATTAATTGTTATATGGATCACAAAAATAAATGTTCACACTGCTTATTTCAATATAACAATCATAGTAACCAGTGCCAAGCTCCTAATGAACAAAAAAGACCATAAAAGTAGTCCATACAACTTGTGTGCTAACTTTCAAGTCTACTGAAGCCACGTGTTCCTCAAAAATATTAAAGTCTTACAGGCTTGGAATAACATGAGAGTAGGAAAATTCTTATAGAACATTCATTTTCTTAGTGAAGTATTCCTGTAACAGGCTTTTGATAAAAAAAATATCTTGTAGAAAAAGCATTTCCAGTTGGAAAGGTAAATATTCAGTCGTTTGCTACAACAGCACTCAGCAGTGTGTACCAGAACACCTTAAATGGCCAGAGGAGCAGTTTGTTGTAAAATATTAATTGACTCCTACAGACTGTCAACTTTCACAAAGAACGGGAGTTAGCAATAGATCTTTATCAGCATTTGTTCAATTATTCAGTCCTCCTGGAGCATAGAGTCCTCTGGGTCTGAACTTTGTTTCCATGGACACAAAAAATGAGAGTGAATAAATAAGCTTGTGACTGGAATAAAGAGATGCAATGAATGTTAATGGACTCACAGTACAACAATACTAGGTTAAATCTAAAGGTAATATTTGCCCTTTCATGCAAATCCAGGACCGGCCTGCCAACCTAAATCATAGCCTTTGTCATTCTAAAATAAACTACAATACTGATGTCAGATCAGCGTGAAAGGGCAGTTACTACTTATAAGTCAAAGATATGGCTTTAGTTCCCATGCTGCTTAACGCTCCATGATGAGACATGCATTATGTTAAAAACAGGTTTTTCCTTTACAGTTACCTCCCATTTCCCCAACATATCTGCAGTCTGTCCACGGTAGGCAGCAGAGAGAACAAATACCACTTAGTCCATGTTAAGAATGCTAATTATAGCCAGAAAATTGTTATATATTGAATCAAACCTCCATCAAAATTGTACAGTTGTATACAGGCAAGGGGATACAGGTAAAGTAGGACAATATTAATATAAATTAAATTCATATAAATTAATATTTATTAGTATGCATATATTCTTCCAATCCTGGACATCAAAGGGATAGTGCATCCAAACATGAAAAATCTGTCATCTGCTGTTTTTACTTTTTTTTTTTTTTTTTTTTTTCTTTAGTGAAAAAAAGGTGTTTTGAAGAATGTTGGTAACTAAACAGTTTCGGTTGCCATTGACTTCCCATTCAAAAATTACAGTGGAAGTCAATCGTGTTTGGTCATCAACATTCTTCAAAATATCTTCTTTTGTCTTCAGCAGAAGAAGGAAATGCATACAGCTTTGGAATGACATGAGGTTGAGTAAATGATGACAGATTGTTCATTTTTGGGTGGACTATCCCTTTAAGTTCATCCCAAAATATTATGGAATGACATGTAACCATTTGTAGATCTACAGCAATAGCAAATTATCCAAAAGTGTCCCACTTTAACAGTATTCACCCTATGAGACTTACACATTACCATTATGAACAGTGCATTACAATGATATTAATCAACTCTAATTATACCCCCAACTGTGTATAATATGGTTCTTGTTATGACTGCACAAACTGAGGTGCTTGGCAAACTCTCATTAAATTTCAGCTTATACAATTCTTTTAGTTCACTAATAAATGCCTCATCCAAATTAAACATTTATATGCCATTAAAGAAGGAAACTTATACTGACCTATGCCAGTAATTACACTATTATCTTCTGGGTATGTTCTTTTGTCTTCTGGGCAAATCTAAAAATAGACCACCCTGACTACTACATCATGACCATGATACCTGAAATCTGGTTGCCATGGTTTCCAGTCCCTCAATTTTGGAGTCCTGCAGGGCATTGTAGGTGGAAATGGTGCTAAACATGTTTAGAATTTTGTTCAGCCGTCGCTGAAACGTGTCAAACTTGCCAAAGATGTACATCTCGCTAAAGTCAAACTGACGCTCCGAGGGATTCTCCTCCAGCTTCTGCTTGGTTTTTTGGAAATATTTCTGGTATTCCTAAATTATTGGACACAAAAATTTGTGTTTACAGTTTATTCATCTGGTAGACACTTTTTTCCCCTAAAGCAACAATCAATATATTCATTATATTAAAATAAAATGTAACATTAATTACTATTCCACCACTTATTATCAATAACTACATTTGTGTGTAATACTTATTTGTGTTCTTCTTGTATTTTCCCTAAAAGGGATGAAGGTTAAGTATATTGTTCAAATGCGGTGTATAGCAGATGAACACTAAATAAATAAGTAAAAATGGAGCCACATTAATGTGAAGCTTGTAATTTTAAATCATATATTTAATAGAAAAAAAAGGTTATAATTTGAGCTGTGGAATTGTCTAAATTATCAATTTTCAGGTATAACGTCCATATACACAACGTATAATGTCCATTTCTGGGAATCTTGCAGATAAAGATACAGCGTTTATTGGCTTTACAAGGTCATGACATTGAAGTTGAACTAAATAAAGTCACACTAGACTTCATGCTAGCACAAATAATATTTATGTTGACTGGTTATGTGTTCTTCTTGTGTTTATCTTTGTCTAAAAGGGATGAGCCTTATCATCAGAGCCTTAAAGCTTAGTAAAATCTGTCTTGGCAAAATGGAATAGACAAATGTAGAGAAAAAGGAAGCTGTGGATGAAGGTTAAGTGGTGTGTTCAAAGGCAGTGTTCAGCAGACGTGCTCATAGAGCTGTATTACATATATCTTATATATATATATATATATATATATATATACAAGTATAAGTATATATAAGTATATATACACATCTTCCAGCTAAATGTCACATTGTACCTGATTCAAGCGAATGGCAGCTTTAAGCTTCTCGGATACCACTTCCTGCGGCTGATCCCATATGGTTGCCGAGCCACTATTTGTAATATAGGCCTTACAGGCAGTAATCATTTGATTCGTAACCTAAGGAGAAAGACAATATTTCCAGTTTAAAGTATTAAGCCTGTGAAATTAAATTTAGCTATCTTGGGAGTCACCTCACTCTTACCTTGACAAAAAGGGAAGTGATCTTCTCTGAGGTGTTGTAGTAACGTGAGATGCTATGGATCATACGTATTGCATTTATAAGCCCAGGAATAGCTTCTACCATTGACACCTATAAAGATGCACCATGAACACAGTATTATCACAGGGTGTATTAAACTCTGTATAACAAACTTTATAAACTAGTTATAACACACTGCTACAGGCATTATGTACATAATTAAATACGAACTCACAAATATGCGTTTCTTTCAGTGGTATATATATATATATAAATAATTTCCTATAGTATCTACACAAGATGCTGAGCAGTATGATTTTATTTCCTATTTTTGTATGGCACAAATTTAGAAACTGCAGAATAAGCCTTACAGGGTTGCTGTTGTACAGCGGGTCACAGAACTTCTCAAGGGTGTACAGGTACTTCACATTGTCTTTGGCCTCATTTGCCGCATCAGTGATTCTGATGTCTAGTTCTCGCCAAACCTGCGGTGGCAAATAATTTAGACCTCAAATTAGACCTCAAACTGACTGGCAAAAACAGCTCAAGCAATGGCATTACTGAAATGAAAATGAAAACGTCATTGTGAAAAAGGAAAGAACATTCATGAAAACTCAATTATAAAACAAATTTACCTTACAAGACAAATTGTCCCCAGCTATTGTCTCTTTCACCCAACAACTAATAATGATATATAAATATAAATCATCAACTAACCTTAATCAGTTTGGACTTGGCTATAATAAGAACCCCCAACACAGCTTTGACCTCAGGGCTCTTCAACTGGTCCAGCAGGTAGTTGAAACGGGACATGCGTTTCTTCCAGTGGTCAAGCTCTGCACGGGGGCCCAGGTCATCTGCTTCTTTCCTTAACTGGTCACTCTCTGCAAGGACCTTCAGATCACATGACAGGGTGGTTAAAAAGTGAATACAACATATAAAAGACATGACAAAAAAGTTACAATTTTGAGGAAGATCTAACGTTATTTGCAAGCAAACCCTCTCATATAATAGATTCTATACCACAAATTAAAATGCATTTTCAAAGTAACAGATTTGAAACCTGTTCGATCTGTTTGACCCAAGTTTTCATGCAGGCTTCGATCTTCTCCAGAGCTTCTGCGCTATTGGCCACAGCTGTGTAATCTGAAGGACCTTTCAATGTTTTCAAGTCAAACGTTTCACATTCTTTGAGGTTTACCTGAAATATCAAACAATTTTCACAGATCTTTCTTTGGGCTAGAAATATTTTGCATGATGGATGTTAAATTGATGATCTGGGCTAAATACAAATTAACATACAATAATCAAGGTTTATTATTACAAACAAATAAATGAATAAATCAACTATACGTTGCAAAAGGAGTAACCACTTTAATGTAAGACTTGTGTTTTTGTTAGAGCGCTTTTTAGTAGAAAAAAAAATAAATTTTATTATTTAAAATGTGAAGTTGTCTAAATCACCCATTTTGAGGTAGGACCAATTTATAATATCTGCCATTTCTGGTAACCTTGCAATGAGTTTATCTGCTTCATAAGGTCATGACACTGAAAGTGAAAGCTAGTAACTGTTAAGTTATAGCTAAGTAACTATAACTACGCACAAATCTCATGTTACCTAATATAATGTCTGATATTAGGTAATTGAATTATATATATATAAGTCACCAAACCAGTTCACAAACAGATACAAGTGTGGCCGGAAGGGTCGTCAGAGGCTCTTCGAGACTGTTTTAACACCACTGACTGGAATATGTTTAAGCAGGCTGCAACATACAATAACACCACAGACCTCCAGGAGTACTCAGAGACTGTCACTGCCTACATCACCAAGTGTATTGATGATGTAACAGTCACAAAGACCATCACTGTCCGGGCCAACCAGAAGCCGTGGCTAACAGGGGAGGTCTACGGACTCCTGAAGACGCGGAACGCTGCCTTCAGAGCTGGAGATGAGGTGGGCTTGAAGACAGCTAGGCAATTCATTTTTTTTTTTTTTTCATTTTTGAGAGGCTATGGATCAGTATAGTACTAAAATGGAGTGTGTGAGTGTGTGCATCCTTGAGTGTGTTTATGTTATTGTAAAAGTGTGCCTCTTTCTTTGTCCTTTTGTATTTGTGAGACCTTTTCCTGCAGGCTCTCCTGTGCCCCGGCTAACACAGAGACAAAGCTGTCCAGAGAGCTAATAAAGTCTTGCTTGACAGCCTGAGCCTGCGGGCTTGCTAGCTCTGCCCAGCCGTGGTTCATCTTCCTCAGAGTGGGGATGAAGATCTCTGACAGCAGCTGCTCCACGCTCTTCAGCAGACCAACACCCATGGTGTCCAACATGTTAAAGTTCACATCCTATGAGAGCAAACAGAGGGGTGAGGATGAACATATACACAAGAGACTTTTGTTGTTGTTTTGATGACATATACGGCTCTAACTGAATCAAAATATCACACACAACAAATTGTCATTAAAAGTGCTCAAATAAAATAAAATAAAATAAAATAATAATAAACCAACCAACCAACAAACAAATAATGTATAATTCATTTTCTATTAGGGTTTGCCATTTTTTGTGAACCTGTTATTTCTTCATATTTTGAAGCAAGTAAAATTACTTTTAGTATAGTTTAGTATATTTTTATAAACTAACTAAAATAACTATAGATTTGATCATAAGCATAGTACTGGGAAATACAGTGACAACTGATATTTACATGCATTTTATGTATGCAGCCTGCTATACTGTTATAAAGATCTCATCGATCTATATTACAAGCTATCAAAATTTCATCTTACTTTTTGGGCACAAAAATATCAGCAACAATTGCATTATTCAAATTCAATTACATTATTTTTGCTTGATCAGCTGAATAATATTGAGTTTAAAACTGAGTGATTTATGAAACCTGACATATGAAATAACAGTCAAATAAAATAAAATAGAAATGTGTGTGTGTGTGTGTGTACCTGGTGTTTATCACGTTATGGGTCTTAGGGGCAGCTTTTCACACATTTCTCTTTATTCCATTTACCCTGTGGATATTCTCTGATGTGATAGGCTTGGAGGTGTTTGCCCGGGTGAAAAATACACAAATGCCAGTGAGGGCCACATCTGTGCCTTCCGTCACAAAGACCTTGGCTTTCTTACTGCGAATCACTGAGGAGGATACAGCTACCAAACAAAGACACAAAGACAAATTGATCTTATCGCATGTCTTATTTGGATGCAGTGTAACATTTGTGAGAATTTAATGAGAATCATCATTGAGAATATTCAGAATTACAAACAAACTAAAAAAGAAGAAAGAATTACAGTATTTTTAATGATTACTTAGATTTTTTTACTAATGATTATTTTCACAGGCTTTACTAACCGATATCTACAGGCTCTGTGTCCTGGTAGTATAAAATGAGGTGAGGGAGGCCATTGGCAGCAAAGAACTGCTCTATCCGCTCAATCTGAAAGATCAAACATAATACTGTTAAATAACATTGTATAAAATATCCTAGGGAATGCTAATAATCAATGACTTCCTGACTAGAAAATGTGGAGAATGCTCTTCAAAACCAAATTAAGAAGTGTGTCTGTGGAATATTGTTAACCTGTGTGCCCTCCAGTATCGCATCTTCCACTTCAGCTTTCTCCAGACCCACGCAAGAGGACACAATGCTGAGAACATAGTCATGTCTGCTGTCCAGCTGTGCTCTCTTGGCCTCACGCTCTTCCTTCAGCTTTTGCTGTGTGATAAGAAGATGTGCCCACTTTAGCATCAGCATTTGGTTATTTTGTTTTGACAAGCTTTTATACATGGTCTATTAATAAAAGGATAGGTGTAGCAGGACACATACTGCAGGAGTATTTTTAACTTCTTGAAATCTTGAAAAAATGAAACCTCTTCAGACTCTTCAAAGTTCAAACATTCATCACATGCTCTATAATAAATATAAGACCACGGACTTGAGAAAAAAAAAGTTTCTTATTTTCTGACTTTGATAAGCCTGCGCTAACTATAGAAATTAACTATGACAATAGTTTTAGAAAAGTCATATACAGTATGACTTTTCTAAAACTATTGTAATATACCCTTTATCTCTTTTGTCATTCAGAAAATAACTGAAGGACCACCTAATAATTGCAATAATAATATAATATAACATCAGTTACCTCAGTATATATGTACATAAAGTAAAAAAACAAAAAAACAAACACCACTACAGGAAAAGGCAAGCAAATGAAGCATCATCAGAACATGGAGTCATACATACTTTAAAAGCAGTGATCTGGCTGTTTGAGATTATCGACGACTGCACTGCAGGCTTACGTCTTCCAGACTTCTTTTCATGCATGTTATCCATGAGATCTTACATCTAAAGACTGCCAGACTATCAAGTAGCTTTATCTTCATCCAAGCAGACAATGAGTATCAGTCCTAACTCGCAAAACCAAAAAAAGAATACATCCAAGTGTAAAAGAAAAAAAAAACTAAAGGGAAAGTTTTGATTAGATTGTCTCCAAGTGAGAAAATCATCGTTCAGACTGGAGTACTCTAATCATCTATCCAACTGACGGTCACTATCCCCACTTTTCTCATGGCAGTAAAAGCTGAAATGTTTTAGGGTCCTTGTACAGAATAAAAGAAAGCTGACTGAACAAAGCCTTAAATGGGCAGAGCAGACCGGGTCCCTCGTCAAAGCAGTGAGAGACAGTAAAAGTCGCTTTGCCGGGGTGCTAGGTAACACCGTAAAAAAAAAAAAAAAAAAAAAGAGCCAATAAACTAAAAACCATTTTGTGGGCCTGATACAGATGCTCAAAAAAGATGTTGGTATTTTGGTCTTTCTGAAACAATCTTCATTCCAAGGGCATTCTTTCTGTTCTGATATAATATAGATTTTAATTGTATAATTTTTTATTTACAAAAAAAAATGAAATAATAATTGTGTGTGTGTGTGTGTGTGTGTGTGTGTGTGTGTGTGTGTGTGTGTGTGTGTGTGTGTGTATAGTTATTTTTTATGTGACATTTCATATGTCTGGCTTTATAGGATTAAGCTGTAACACAGTAGTCACAATATTTCTCATAAAAGAAAACAAAGAAACTAACAAACAAAAACATATAAGATGTATGCCTCTAATGCTTTAAAAGAGAGTAAACCAATCTCTACCATATGGAATGTACCAAATAAAAGATATGACCAGGACAAGAAATATTTACAGGAAAAAATAAGACAAGCTAAAATATTTTGTCAATAAAATAAAATTATTAACTTTTCAAATAAAATAATGGTGTTTTTAAGAATTAAAATAAACTAATTTTGGAGTTTGACAATGAACACGAGACAAACAGACAAGCCAAAATGCTTTACATTTCTTGAAATAATCATTTCGGAACATTGACTCAGCTTTATTCAGCTGTTTCACGTGGTTTCTCATTAAAATTCATGAAAGCAATTAGTGTAAATTACATCGCTAATGTCATAGAATAGCATAATTTTAATAATAGCGGGGCACATTGTAACACAGTGTTACAACGTTCCCCGGGGGTAAGTAAAACCCATAAAAAAAAAAAAAAAAAAAAAAGAGCCAATAAACTAAAAACCATTTTGTGGGCCTGATACAGATGCTCAAAAAAGATGTTGGTATTTTGGTCTTTCTGAAACAATCTTCATTCCAAGGGCATTCTTTCTGTTCTGATATAATATAGATTTTAATTGTATAATTTTTTATTTACAAAAAAAAATGAAATAATAATAACTCAACATCCCATTCCTATCACACCACAGCAGAACCATTAAATGTCTGCAAGAAACACACAGCTTTCTATTGAAAGAATAGGTTTTTGAAATAGTCAACTATAAAGACATTCCTGAATGAAGCAGCTGTTTGAACAAATGAATTAATTAATTGAATTAATGATTGAATGACTCACTCATTAAGACACTGACATTGATTGACATAATTTATTCACTTAACCACTCATATTTTATTTTATTTTTTTACAATTTTGAAATAGATTTTTTTTAAAATTCCAGAATAGATCATTTATTTTAAATTGCTTTATTTTAGACCTTAAAACAATTTTTTTTTTAATAAATAAATGGCTGTGTCAGTGTCTATTTCATGCACATATAATCTAGATAGGCTACAACAGGTAAGCATGTCAGCATGGACACTAGTCCTGGATTATTAACAATATAAATTTCCTGTTGATGAAGATCTTTTAGTCTATGCTGTTGCCAGTTGATGCTTGAACAAAACATCACTAAACATTATTTGGTGTGGGCCTGTATCCAATAATCACAATAAGCTTTGTGCTTTTTTTTATGAAATAATGTCTCACCATTCATATTCTGTCAATTGTATAACAAAATTCAAACCATGAACAGTTTTGACACTCTTTAATGTGGCATTACAGATCGCTGTAGTATTCGCTGTAATTACAATGTATACTTTTTTCTTTATTTACCCCGAAAGAATTGAAGTGAAATGTGACAATATGTCCAATAAGTGGGGCACACTGTAACATCTGAGGGGCACGTTGTAACATGACTATATGATTCACGTGGTTTCTCATTAAAATTCATGAAAGCAATTAGTGTAAATTACATCGCTAATGTCATAGAATAGCATAATTTTAATAATAGCGGGGCACATTGTAACACAGTGTTACAACGTTCCCCATCTGCACAACTGGAATTTAAAACTGGTTAGTGTCTTCTGCTATTTAATGAAGCATTAAAAAACTATCTAAACTACTTAATAACAGATTGGAGATAAATAGCAGATTTGTGTCATTTAAATAAACACTAAAAACTGAGATGAAAAATTTACTTCAGCCAGAAATGTACCTTTGCTATGGTTAAATAAATATTCAGGGATATCTTCAAAACACTTCTGGCACATTTTTTTCTCTATATAGTGTTGATATGGGGTCTACTTATAAAGCACAAATTAATGGCTTATTCTGCATGACCATATTTTAGATACCTTAATTCTACTTAAACTCAATAACTACCTTTTACTCCAAATTAGGAGTTTAATGAGGCAAAACCATCCTGCATATTTAAGTTTCAACCCTGTTCCATTACACCTGCCTGTAATTATCAAGTAACCCTGAACACCTTGTTAATTAGCAGGTTTAGTTGTATTTGATTGGGGTTGGAGCTGAATTCTGCAGAAAGGTAGCTCTCCAGAAGAAGGGTTGGAGACCCCTGTTAATCATATAGCCTGTATGATTAAACTCTTCCCCATGGTCTAGTGTTAAAAAAGTTAACAAAAATTGCAATACACTGTAATATTGAATCACACTACTTTTAGATGTAGATGTCGTGATTCTTAAAAATCCTAATACATATCGATTCGGCACCCAAATGATAGTACTGATTCGGGAGATAAGCATATTGACGTAGCCCTAGTAAAAATGCCCCTGGAAATCAATTTAAGGGTGCAAATATTAAAATTAATTTTTGTCACTGAACAATCCACCACACAGAATATGAAGAATATGAAAAGCTTCAAGAGTCAGCTGACCAGCACATAAACACACTTAGCAAATCATTGTCTAATTATGGTTATCAAACAAAATCCCAGAAAATATTGAGATATCATTTTTTGTCAGTATTGCACAGCCCTGAAGAGTAGTTGAACAAAAGTTGAATATTTGGTTATATCCTTGGATATCACTAATTCAGATCAAAGTAAAGTCTAAGTAAAACACCTCTTATGTCTTTTCACTCCATTGATCATATAGGTTTCCTATTGGCTTCACAAAGTTGTTCATTTACAACATTGTGTGAGAGACTGCAGGTGAGATAGGAGCCCAGGAGACAGATAAATAACTACTAGGAAAGAGATACCAGGAATCAGCCCATTTAATCTCCCTGACATCTTGCTGTCCCCATGCTGTTCTCATCTACCACAACACTTCAGCTGTAGGTGGCAGGTAAGAGCTCAGTTTAGCACTGAATTTTTCATGCATTTTATCCCGACAGTGGTGAGCTTGCTTTGAATACCAATTCCAAGCCCCTGACACTACATTTTAGATGTCACAATCAGCATTTCAGGTCTTGAAGCCATAGATATGAAATCCATAGATTAAGCATGGGCAGCTGTTGCTTATTATGCAATATGTCAGCATAATACGGCCATAATTACATGCAAATTAATGGACAGATGCAGCATGCAACATCCATCATGCCTACGTCAGCATTCTCATATGTGAAAACACATCAGTTTTTGCAGTCTTTGCATTTCATACAACTGGAGGTCTTACAGTGTTACGGTATTTTAGTTATAATGGCCAGTGATAGAGGGCCATCTACAGTTTAGAGACG